TCTTCAGCATAACCCATTCCACAACAATAAGGAATGCTATCAGTGATAGTAGCCAGCCTTATGTTTCTTCTATCTTCAATTCAAATACCTCACTGAGTAATACGCTGTGGGTCACTTGACACGTAGCACTGTCATACAGCTGTAAAATGAGGTTGATAAGGATTTCGGGTGCTACAAATAGGAACGCGAAGGGGCAAAATGAAAGAGCGCTGATAAGTACAAACTTGATCATGTTATATAAGTTGACAAACTTTGAATACGGATGACTAACTTGTGGCCATTTGCTTCATGAGAACAGTCAGGAGTGATGTATATACCCAAGGCCGTGGATTCCTAGCCACGTGTATGAGCGGAATGTGGGAGATCAAGACCCTAACTTAGTCTAATGTGCATGGGACGTTTATTAAGTTGCCACGTAGCATCTAAAACCCTTGAGATCCCAAGAGGTAACTCCATGGACAGTGTTTCTAAAGACATGACTTAACCTTTCTGTCTAGAAACTTATCCACACTGCGTGGTTAATGAAAGACTTTGACGAGTAATAGTTGGTTACACAAATACTAACGCTTGGACTGTGGAAATCAGTAGGCCAGTTAAATCAGCTAAACCACTGACTTAAGATGAAGCCTCCTGAAAAACCTCGGAATGATTGGTCGGTACCCTTCACGATCTCGTTTTCCATTTAACTTTCTGCAGCAAAGCTTCTGTTTACCAAGTGTTTTGTGAACCTAGAAGAAGCGAAAATGTACGTAAAGTATTTCCGTCCTTAAAATACTTGAAAATAAACCGTTTCATATTTACATTATGTCACCTGGAATCACATTGTGCCTAAGTGTTATTTTAAACATTCCTGAACGGAATCCCATATATAAATATATATATATATATAAGGTAGCATAGCGCTAAACTAAGGGATATAAATGAAGTTAAGACGGTATATTATCGTCATAAGGCTGAGTGAACTCTACTTAAAGTCAATCCGAAAAGCGTTTTACTCAGTCCACCTTCTCCTTGTAATCGAGTTTTCTTCCGAATACGTCTAAAAGTAAGAGACGAATGACGAGAAATTATGTAGTGAATAACTGCATATCCTTTTCTTCCATCCCTTACTTAATAATAATAATTATTTCATATCCTAACCTCGCCTAGATTACTAGGTCACTAGTATTCTAGCCGGTCCCAAGCCCGGATAAAGAGGGAGGGTTGGGGCGTGGTGCTAGCAACTCCACCCCCAAAACTTAACCAAATTGCTATTAAAACTTCAACGCACAAATATATTAAAAATTCTAAAACTACAAACAATAACCTTATTTTTCGCTGGAATCGGGCATGTGAAATAACGCAGGCTGGTGAAAGCCTTCGGGAAGCCAGTCAGCCGATGTGCCTTCTTTCGATGAAAGCAAAAATAAGGATGGGGACGTGGAATATTCGTACAATGTACGAAACTGGAAAGGCTGCTCAGGTAGCCGCAGAAATCAGGAGATATAAAATAGAAGTGTTGGGAATCTGCGAGAGCAGATGGAACGGATGTGGAAGGAGCCAACTATCAACTGGAGAGACAATAATCTACTCCGGTCACCCAGAGGACAATCACGAGCACACCGAGGGAGTAGCCATCATGATGTCACCAACAGCGGCTAAAGCTCTCATGCAGTGGGAACCAATCTCCTCCAGGATAATGACAGCCAGGTTCAACTCAAAAGGAAAAAAGGTTACAATCATTCAGTGCTACGCGCCTACAAACGCCTCAGAACATGAGAAGAAGGAGGATTTCTACAGTCAACTACAAACAGTAATGGACAACGTCCCAAAGAGCGATATCAAAATCCTGATGGGCGACATGAATGCGAAACTGGGAGGAGACAATACAGGAAGAGAACTCACCATGGGTCGTGAGGCCCTCGGTGAAATGAACGAAAATGGTGAACTCTTCTCAGACTTCTGCGCCTTCAATGATTTGGTGATTGGTGGCAGTGTGTTCAAACACAGGGATATACACAAGGCAACATGGATTTCACCAGATGGACACACCAAAAACCAGACAGACTTCATTTCAATCTCAAGGAAGTGGAGACGGAGCCTACTGGACACAAGATCGAGGAGAGGAGCAGATGTGGGTTCAGACCACTATCTAGTACAAGGGACTTTCAAGGTGAAGCTGAAAGCCTCGAGGATACCTGGGGATAGGCCACAATGCAAGTTCAACACTCACAAACTGAAGGACACAATCACACAGGACATTTTCACTGCAACCGTCAGAGCAAAGCAGGAAACACTACGTGGCACCACTGAGGAATCATCCGTGGAAGACCATTGGAACTCTCTGAAGGTGATTTTCAACGAAACGTGTTCAACGGTTTTAGGAAGAAAGAAGAAACAAGACAAGGAATGGCTCTCAACGGAAGCTTGGAAGCTAATAGAGGAGAGGAGAATGGCGAAAGAGAAAATGATTCAATGTAAAGATGGACAAGAGAAAGAGACGTTGAGTTCAACTTACACAGCACTGGACAAAGAAGTGAAGAAGAGCGCTAGGAAGGACAAAAGGCAATTCTACGACAACCTGGCTACTGAAGCTGAGAATGCAGCAGGCAAAAGGGACCTGAGGGCATTATATCAGATTACCAAGTCTCTATCCGGGAAGAGATCAACACAAGTGAAACCTATAAAAGACAGCCAATGGAACCCAATTACCAAAGAAGAAAGACAGATTAAACAATGGGCGGACCACTTCAAAGGACTCTTGAACCGACCACCACCTACAACCCGTCCAGAAATACCAACAACAGCACGTACACAACTGCAAGTTGACACCAATCCTCCAACGAAAGCTGAAGTCTTGAATGCAATCAAGCTTCTGAAAGCTGGAAAAGCAGCTGGACCAGATGGAATACCCCCTGAAGCACTGAAAGCGGACCCAGAAACGACAGCAGATATGCTGACTCTATTATTGTAAAAAGTCTGGAAGGAGGGAAAGGTGCCTACTGACTGGAGGCAAGGTTACCTGGTGAAACTACTAAAGAAGGGCGACTTAGGACTCTGCAAGAACTGGCGAGGAATCCAGCTCCTATCGACACCAAGTAAAATCCTGAGTCGCATCATCTTGGTGAGAATCAAGGACGCACTGGATACAGAACTCCGACCAGAACAAGCTGGATTCAGGATATGCAAATCATGTTCTGACCAAATTGCAACTCTACGCATCATCATCGAACAAAGCATGGAATGGCAGTCTAACCTCTACATCAAATTTATAGACTTTGAGAAGGCCTTCGACAGCGTTGACCTCGAGTACCATGGCGTACCCGAAATATTCATCAACCTTATTCAACAGCTGTACGACAACGGCACATGTCAAGTGATCCACAACGGAAAACTCAGCGAAGCGTTTGGAGTAAACATAGGAGTCAGACAAGAGTGCTTATTATCACCAATGATATTCCTAATTGTGGTGGACTGGATTATGCGTCAGACAGTGGGGAACGAGAAGACAGGGATATCCTGGACCGACATGACGAACCTAGAAGACGTGGATTTCGCACGTGGATGATTTATGTTTGATGTCACACAAAATCGAAGACTTACAAGCGTAAACCGACAAACTGGTCGAAGAAGCAGCCAGAGAAGACAGGACTCCAGGTGAACATAGACAAGATGGAGGTTATGAAAATAACCAACCAACCAACAGCAACAACAGCAGCAGCAGCAACATCCAGCGCCAATCACCATCAATGGGAAGGATTTGAAAGAGGTTACTTCATTCACTTATCTAGGGAGCATCGTCTCAACTACAGGAGGAACGGACCAAGATGTCAAATCGAGAATCGGGA